CACAAAGAGGCCATAGAACACGTCAACTCCTCTCTTGAGAGTTTTTATCTCTGGCTATTTATATTGCCAAAGAAAAGATGGCTTTCTACTCCCCAAAGACCCTCTTACAACCCGGCTGTTGAGCTCAAGTCATTCAGGATCTTTGGCACAAAGAGGCCATAGAACACGTCAACTCCTCTCTTGAGAGTTTTTATCTCTGGCTATTTATATTGCCAAAAAAAGATGGACGATTGGTAACCTGTCATCGACCTTTCTTGTTTCAATCGCATCCTCCAGCCTCTTCAGTTTACAATGGAGCTGTTTCTTTCCTTTCGGTGGCTCTTTTCACTTGGTTTATGGAGGACAAAATCTATGTTGTCGATTCCTACCTCCATATTCCGATCGGGGAGTCTTCACTGCATTATCTCCATTTTGTGCAGGAGGACAACCAAGTTTTTTCAGTTTTGTGCTCTTCCATTTAGCCTTGTACCTGCTCCAAACATTTTTTGCTGGATAGTCAGATCCTTTACATGTCATCTTCACTCATTGGGCATTCACACTCACCATTACATGGATGCCTGGCTTCTTCTCTCCCCTTCCTGCCACTTGGAAGAACTTCATGCCCAAACTCTTTTATCAGAACCTGTGAGAACTGAGTTTCTTATCAAAAAGAAGTCTATTTTTACTCTTACACAGAACCTCATCAATTTAAGGGTATTTTTCAATTTCAGCTAAGTTGGCCCAACTTTCTACTTTATGCTTTCAGGCCATGGAACGGATAGTTCTTCAAATACAGTTATCTCCTTCTCCACCAGTGTGTACAGTTCTATCTATTTTTGGGGATGTGGGCATCCTTGGAATCACTCATTCCTTTAGGTCAGGCTCACTTGCGGACCCTTCAGTGGTTATTACAGGACCAGTGGAACATTTGCACAGATGCCTTGGATTGTCCAGCAGTCCTATCAGCTTCCAGTTTGCAAATCTTGGCTGGTGGTTGGACAGGAACAACAGGACAGTTGGGTCCCTTTACTGGCTCATGTCCAGAGATACATCTTTTCACAGATGCTTCTCTCCAGGGCTGGGGAACTTGTATAGAGAATATGGAATTCTAAGGCCTTTGGACAGAAGAGGAAACTTCTCTTCACACCATTCTATTAGAACTTCAAACAGTTCAACGAGCTATGACTTAGGGCCTCAAGTTGTAATGAGGGAAGGTGGTAATGCTTTACTCAGAAATTCCACAGTCATCTTGTATATTTCAAAGCAAAGCGGCACTCGCTCCAGATCTCTTTGCTTTCAAACATTGGATCTTCTATTTTGGGCATATAAACATTGGATTGTTCTCCTTGTTTGTTTGTTCCAGGTGTAATGAGCTTAGTGGCTGACCAATTATCTTGTCCCAACAGAGCTCTTCCCATGGAATGGATGCTTCATCCTCAAGTTTTTCATTGGATCTGCTCTTGTCTTGGAATGCCTCAGATAGATGCTTTTGCCATACACTGGAATGCTCGGCTCCCATCCTTCTAGCCTCCTATACTTCATTCTCTGGCTTTAGGTGCTCTCAGCCAGGATTGGACAGGTCTTCATCTTTATGCATTCCCTCCAATTTGTCTGTTATCCAAGGTTTTTGCACTGATTTGCTCCATGCCCTATTGAGTTCTTCTGGTAGTACCACATTGGTCAGTCTTGGTTTCCACTCCTCCAGTGTCTTCAGGAGTGTCAACCTCTTCCTTTTCCTCTCTGGCCATCTCTCTCTTACATCAGCCTCGGTCGGACATTTTTCATCCAGCAGTTGACATTCTTTGACTTCATGCCTAACTCGTATGCAGTTCATTGCACAAAAACAGGGATTGACTTCTTGGGTGGTGTCCTTATTAACATGGTCCATTTAGCATTCTCATTTGGAAGTTTTTCAATGGTGGTTTATTTATCATCATTGGTCTCTCAAACATGGGTGTTAGTCCTTGTTTCACTGTGCCACATATCTCTCAATTTCTGATATGGTGATTCAACAACGGTTTAGCATCTTTGTCTATTATCCTGTATAAGGCTGCTTTATCAGCTACCTTTCATTTTTCTAAGAGAAAAAGGTGTGTGAGTCCCTGGTTTTGTCAATACTTCTAAAATCTTTCTGGGTTATCCATTCTCGTTGTCCTTTCAGGTTCCTAATTGGGATATCACAGTGATCTCCATGCCTTATTTTGTCCACCTTTTGAACCACTGGGGTCATGTTCACTATATCACTTAAGACTTATTTTCTCTGTTGTTGGCTTGTGGGTGTCGATTTTCAGATGTGTTTGCTCCTCTATGTTCATAGGACTCTTTTACCATTCCACTTTTCTTCTGTTGTATCCAGACATGTCTTTTCTACCAAAATCTTCAGCAGCTAGAGAAGGAGATAAGGCTGTCTCTCCTATTCATCTTCCCTATGTTTCACATTTATATGAACGCTCGGATTCAGATTGCCTTTTATTCCCAGTTCAGGCTCTTCGATGTTATGTGGCATACACTGAAACATATCGGGGCTCATGTCCCCATTTATTTATTCTTTGGGATCTACTGTGTCATGTGATTTATCCCCTGTCACTTTGATAAGTTGGATTTGTCAATTAGTTCATATGGCTTACTCCGGGCTTTTGGTGGAGGAGTAGAGACTCTTTTGGGTCTTATCTCCTTAAATTCAACATATCTTGATGTCCCTGTCAGCTCGTTTATGTCACCCACTGGAGGAAATTGTACAGGCTGGTATGTGGACTGCACCTAATACCTTTATATCACACTATTTACATGATTTAGTGGTTTTCTCCTCGGATGGCTTGATTGTGATGGTGAGTATTACCAATAGACTAATAAGTAAAATTCCTGGTAGCAACAAGTTCTGTTGAGCTGAGGTATTCCATAAGACCACCTTGGTGCTTTCCAGGTGATCCACAATTATTCAGTACCATACATACTAATCAATACTGGACCACCAGTTATGGACTATCATTAGTTTAGCATAAAGGGATTTTGCCCATCCCTGCTGACCCCTGAATTGAATTAATCTGGGTTGGTTTGCTTTTCAAAATAGGGAAAGTGGTTAACTTATTGCATTATCTCTGAAGCATTGTCCATTGGGACTTCCTAATGCAAATTTTCCCAAATTTCTTTATAGTGGAGCATGGGAGTCCTTACTACTCCCAGTTTCCAGTTGCTGGAGTGGTGGGCAGAGGTTTATTCCTCCTGAGTGATGTTTGGACACTTTATTCCACTCAAGGAGAAGAGGGTAAAACTGGATACCTTCCCACACATAATCCTGGATGGTTTTCCCAGATGTCTGGTGAGAGAAGGACCAGCCTATGCAGGAGCCTCCTCATAATTCTGATTCAGAGATGACACTTTATTATCCAGTTATGTTGAATGTGGCCCTTCTTTTTGGTCATTATATACTTGTCATGATTATGGAAGAGGGTCCTTGAGTGTCAGCTTCTTAAGCCATTGGTTGAACTTTGTTTGTTCCACATCCTCCTCATAATTCTGGGGGCAGGGGTGTTCCCGTGCCTCTCAGGTTGGGGAGTTAAAATTTAGGTTCATGATCCCTGAGCTGGATGATCTCTGTTTTCTTCAGGTTGAGTGATGCATGAATTGGCCCTGTAATTCTGAGTTTGGTTTGTTGTGATATGTATTTCTTCAGATTGGGGGGAAGGCTTGTCCACTTCGATGTTGCTTGCCCTCTCTTCGTACTTCCGGTTGCTCGACATGAAACATTCTGTAACTTTCAGGTTGGGTTCCTTTAATATCGTATTACAGTTATATCACACTGTGGTCCCCATGTCCTAGCCACTATACCTTGGATCTAGCTTTGGGTCCACAGCCCTATAATTCCAATGATGAGATGTGGGACCTCATCTGCATGGTTGGGGCCTGGATGACTTATGCAGATACTCCTTATGTAGCTACAATCAAATACCTAAAAAAAAACCAATTGAGAAAGTAGTTTCAAATGTCATTTCAAAGCCTTTTCCATGTTGTCATAGTAGTGAAGTCATAACAAGTAGCAAGTATTTCAAGCTATGGTAATCTTATTTGAAACTTGTAAATTCTAAGATCATTTTACACATAAATTTTAGCCAGATATTTATAAAATGTAGTGGCATAATAATCAGTACTTTAATTAAAGACAAGAGAAAACATTGGAAGATGATGAATAGAAATTAAAGAGAAACTATCAGTTACTGTACAAAATACTTTTTACATTGATGTGTCATTTTTTCAGCCTCCAGTTTCACAAATTGAAAAGGAAATTATTAAAAAATTGGTGAAATGAACATTTAGTTTAACATTAACATTTTTATTGAAATAATTCTGTTTTTCTTTCCATGTTGTTTAAATGCACCCTGTACTGATTTATGAGTTTTTAATTTAATCCTTATATTGTTATAAATCTAGGCCATCAGACCATCAGATTTTCCTGAGAAAGCTCTGCCAAGAGTAGGATTAAGAACATTTGGTTATTCTTTATCAGGAGGGTTGGACATGGATTCAAATGGATACCCAGATCTTCTCATTGGAGCATACGAAAGTGATGCTGCTATACTCTTGAGGTGAGAAGTAGGGTGGTATAGCATGAAAAAAATTAATTTTTTTACAATTTTTGAAATTTGTTATAAGAAATATATTAATTGTTTTGTTATTTACAGAGAACAAAATCATAAACTGTCTCTCTCTTTATTTTGTTCCTATAGAAATCCTTTATGCACTAAAACTCATTAAGACTTCTAATAATCTGATAGTTTCACATGAAAGCTAAAAACTGATTTTTTTTTACCAAACTGTGTATTCTATGAGCTTTTTGTTCTTGCTTTAATCAAACCAAACACTTTATTGTGATGTGAATATTTAAACTCTGACACACCTGCCTTTTATAAATCCTTTGCTTATATGAGGATTTGAAAATATGCATGTTGAAAGAATTAGTTAATTTCAGGAATATATGTAACTAACCATAAAGAAAAATTTATTAAAATAGATTATTTTAATTATTATTTTATGAGAAATAACAGGAAAATATGGAGTTATTGAGCAATATGTTTGTCAGAAAGAAGATGAAACTTTAAGTTCAAATTACAAATGAATTACCTTTTAAAATCTTTTGAATATAACTAAACATATTTTAAAACATGGATGATAGTAATTATCTCTTTCACTTTTGTTTTATTTCCAGTGATTTTACTGATTCTTACTCTTATAAAATGTCAGTAAGAGAAACATTTTTAACACTGTATTATGCAAAATGAAAGAATATGTCTGATGTTGAAAATGTGACTGTGTTTCAATTACCTCCCCCCCCCCCTCCAATCAATAATAAGGATATTACAATGTGCTTTTTGAGCATAAATAAACTTAAATTGAAAACTGATTGTGTTGCTATCAAGATACAGCACTATTCTACAACCCCCAAAAAAAATTTGAATCTCGTCATTGCATTTATATATTCATGTATTCAAATGTATATTAGTGGCTTAAGGAATGGATACAAGACATATACTAGAAATTATAAATAATATGGATTCCTCAAGACCATTAACATGCAAAAGGCAGTGGTTTCTAAACTTTTCTCATTGACATCACCCCAACCCATTGACCTTTATTTGCATGATACCCCTGCTGCCACATGCAATATATTTTTGGGGAATTTTTTTTTTATATTCTTAATTGAATTATTCTTCATTTGGTGAAACTCTCGTGACGTGCAGTTTGGAATCCACTGTTTTAAGGTGTGGTGTTGCATCAAGTAGAGAGATTGACGTGACTGGCATAATTGACATTTCTTAACTTTGAAGATATAGGCAAGTTTACACTTGGATGGACTAGACATTCAAAACATGATGCTAAGTATCATGTGAAAAGTACTTATCTTAATAAGAAAAGATTTTGGTCTGTTTTGTGACTTTCAGTTGTGCAGTTAGAGGTAGGCCAGCCACAAGAATGCAAACTTCCATCAATTTCTGAGATAATGAGCTATGTGATACAACTGTTTATTAAGCAGCACTTCCATCAATTTCTGAGATAACGAGCTATGTGATACAACTGTTTATTAAGCAGCACTTCCATCAATTTCTGAGATAACGAGCTATGTGATACAACTGTTTATTAAGCAGTACTTCCATCAATTTCTGAGATAATGAGCTATGTGATACAATTGTTTATTAAGCAGCACTTCCATCAATTTCTGAGATAACGAGCTATGTGATACAACTGTTTATTAAGCAGCAGCAATTGGAAATATATTTGACCAGTTATCAGGACAGCACTGTATAGTAAGGTGAAAATGTTATGAACAGTGTAAGGTGGTATAGAGAACTTTTTGCCAGCTATACAGAACATAATGTAACTCTGACCAACAGTATGGCAACAAACTTGGAAGTTTGCACTTATAGCACCATACTTGCGTTAGTAATCTCAGAGAAAGTTTGCTGGCCACGGTGTATATTAGGATGCTCTACTTGACCATTTTGCTGTTGGAAAACTTTAGCATTTCAGAGGCAGTCACTTAGTTAAAAGTGCACCCACTTAACACTCATAAACTGCTTTCTCAACAGATGAGCAAATTCAGTGTCATTGGTCCATAGCATACATAAGACATTGCAACTGAAAAACAATCTACTATAGAGGTTTAATACATGATTTGTTTATTTAATTAATAAGTACCATTTCTCTATTATGAAAGCCCAGTACTATTAATCTTGGTACTAAACACACAATTTTATTTTTTGCTTAGATTAGTATTAATATGTATGTTTTGAATTCAAAACAAATATTATTAAAATAATTTAAAATCTACATTTACTTTCTTATCTAGCAATTTCTGGTTATGGATTTCACTCTAAAAACTAATAACCAAATTAGAAGAAATCCCATGTTTGAATAGTAAAATCTGCATAACTATAAGGTATATCAAAAAGTTTTTGTAATGTATTCTGTATCTCATACCAGTCTACAAATGACAAAGGTAATCAAATGAAATGGGACAATAAATAAATTTTCAAAAGTGAGTTAAAATTTAAAGAAGTTTCCTTTTTCTCACAAATTCTCTGTTAAAAACAAGAAATACCCTTTGTTTTACACGAATTTGCAAAATTTGTGATATGTCTGTAAATACTTCAGACTAAAATTAATATACACTTGTTTCAAATAATCTAATGTGGTATCCAAATATCAGGCATCTCTTCCTCCAACTGTGTATAATTCGTAGTAATGTTTTCGGAAGTTCTAACCCAACTAGAACCACTGATAATGTCAGTCTTCTCATTGAGATTTGCTGATCTCAAGGACAATAATAGAAAACGGTAAAGAAGAGATAAGCAACCATTGGTGGTCTATACAGTGTGATGTGTGGATTGGTAAACAGCACTCCTGAAGCCCCACACTGGATAGACCCTTTAGATATGGCTAGATATGAACTGTGATGTGCCAAAATGAGGTTTTGATTAGAGTACAGCATCAACGTTTCTTTTATCAATAAGAAAATGTTCTTGGCTGATCCAGAGTACATCATGCTGCAAGTAGGTGGGATAGGGATGGGATACATTGTTCTTTTCCGTCAGTGACCAGAGACATCTTAACAAGTTTGGGGTCCCTGGGCCTGAAATGATTATGGGGGGCTTCTCCCACAGTACTAACTACTACACAGCAGCATGATGTACTCTGGATCAGCCAAGAACATTTTCTTAATGATAAAAGAAACATTGATGCTGTACTCTAATCAAAACCTCATTTCGCTTTCCGTCAGTGACCAGAGACATCTTAACAAGTTTGGGGTCCCTGGGCCTGAAATGATTATGGGGGGGGGCTTCTCCCACAGTAC